TGTATTTCAGCTCCCTTTTTCAATCCTGCACCTTGGAGCTAAGTCATTAGATAGAGAAGAGCGTTACCAAACCCCCCCACCCTCCCAGTGTGACCTCCTGTGCTGTCTGCCTGTTGCACTGTTTCAGTGAAGTTCAATGCAAGCTCAAGGAACATCACCTTGTCTTTTAACGTTTAGCACTGTACAACCTCCTGGACTCAGCACTTGAGTTCAGCAACTTTAGATCATAACCTCTGCCTCCATCTTACTTTATTTTTTTTCTTGGTACCCTTTTGTTTTGCTGTGCCTCTTCATCTCATTTCTTCCTTTTAACATTTCATGTTGCATTCAAATAGTGGTAATGTAGCAGTTCATGCATCATTTGGAAATTGACTCAATCCATTACCATTCTCTTTGGCTGTTAAATCACTACTTTTTAAAGTTTGATCTTCTCCTGGCTTACACGCTGTCATAGTGTTCCCTTATACTTCTCACCCTTTTCCCCCCCCTTTTAAAAACTCCTTAAATCTCTACTTACTCCCAACATAGAACATTTCTGCTACCAACATTCAGCCTCATTGAATCCTGCTGTTTAAACTACTGTCAATGCACATGAGAACAGGACAGAATGGCTTCTTACAGAATCAAAGAAGTGTTGCCATACAGAAAGATGCTATTCAACCCATCACATCTGCTGGCTTTCCAAATGAGCAATAGTTCTGGAACTATTTCCCATACCTTCCAATAACCTTGCCAATTCTTCCTTTTTCAAATCATCTAATTCCCTCTTGAAAATCTTGCTTGACCCTCTGTCTCCTCCTTGTTCTCAGGCATTACGTTCCATATCCTAACTAATTGCATGAAAATGTTTTCCTCATTGCCATTGCAGTTTTGAAATCACTTTGTCAACAATGCTTTTGCTGTTGAGAGAAGTTTGCTTTTTGTTTCCCCATTTGTCCAGACTACTCATGATTTTATCAAATAGCCTTTTAATGTCCTTCAAGGACAATAGTCCCAAATGATACAATGTTTCTCATCTGTGGCTGTTTCCTGCACCCTTTTACAGCTTTCCTAAAGTGTGGCATACAGAACTGGTCACAGCATTTTGGCCGAAACTCAACCAGTTTCATTTGAGTTCAAGAAACTTCCTGCACTATACTCTACTCTAAGCTTTTATTAATGAAGATAAAGATATTGTATGCTTAATTAACTGCACTTCAGAAAATTCTGAAGAAGGGTCTAGGCCTGAAACGTCAGCTTTCCTGCTCCTCTGATGCTGCTTGGCCTGCTGTGTTCATCCAGATCTACACCTTGTTATCTCTTGTTTAAGCTCTCGATGGTTTTATTTTTGTATTAACTCGTGTTGAAAGCTAAGATTTTCCTTGCCCTCCTACTATTCCACCCCCTCCAAACTCTCTTATGCTGTTGCAGTTTTTACCTTTCTTCATGAGGAAACCCAGATCCCTCTATGCTAAAACATCTTGGAAACTAATGAGGAAACATGCCTAGCTACTGTCAGCCTGTTCACAAAAGTAAGATAGGCTGGTTACTGGCCTGGTTGAGCCTCTCAGTCTAACCTTTATCATCAGCGAAGTGATGAAAGGAGTCATTGACAGTGCTATTAAGTGGTACTTTCAAAGGAATGATTCCTCCTGCTAATTTGGATTAATATGTTTAGTTTAGTTATACAGACATGTTTTTACACTATGAAATACACTACTGAACTTTAATCAGCTCAAGTGAAGAGTTTCTTATCCCAAAGGGATAAAAATGCAGAATTTTGAGCAAAGCGTACAGTGATTTGAGCTATTTAGCCAGCTGTTTCAAATATTTAGCCAAGGCACAATGGGCTGAATGGCTTGTTTTGCCTTTCTATATAAAATATGATGATGCTGCAGACTAAGATGTAGGTAAACAATAGGCTGTGGATAGAATCAGCTGCTGAAGTTGGTTTGGTTTTCTCTTTGCTGGGAAAGAGGTGGCTCTATGTCTTGCTACCTTGTACCCAATATTCTATTTTGAAGGTGACTTTGTCCCTGAAACCTGGCTATATTTGTATTCCAGCTTGTAGTGCCTATGCATCATGCTGCTTTGGGCATCTGTAGGGAAATTCATGATTTCCATAAATTTCCAGGTAAATAATCCTGTTTTAATAATATTTGAAATATTTTTGCCTTTTTCTTTCCATTGCTGTTATTTTGTTGGCTGCTTTTTTTTTTGTTAATTTAATCTTTCTTTTTGCTGTGCTTGACGGATTTGTTTTGTCTTCTGACAGAATCTGTTTATGTGCGCAGATGACAGATTGCTCTGTTACAGCTGGGTTATTCTAGTATTGGGACCCCAGGGAGAGGAAGAGTTGGGGCAGCATTTCTGCCTGAGTTGAGAGCATATTCTGAAACAGATGCAACTCTCTCCTTAAGAATTTTTATCTCTGTTGCAAGCATTTGTGTTACAATTTGCTGAGCGAAGTCACAGCACTTTTAAAAGTACACATGACATTGTGAAACACCGTCCAATTGTGCAAAAAACGCTAGTTATGGATTTTGTTCGTCAAAAGGATTGAATGCTATACTATATTCATCACATTATGGGAACCGCTCTGAAGCATGTTTGCACATGATTTCAAAAATAACTACCTGTACCTCTAGCACACATGTCTACATTTATTTAGGATTGAAATCCCTTCCTATACCATTTTCAAGCATCTTCAAAAACAAATGGCAAACTTTAAATTTGAAGGAATGTTGTGTGTAATATCTGTAATACTTTGACACAATTTTCTCCTCTTCATACATCTCTACATTGCAAGCTTTATCTTTGTTGCCATGGTGATTGTTTCCTCATTCCTTTTGAAGCCCCAGGATAATGATACCCGGCATGCTGCTCCTCTTCTCTCCCAGCACAGCACAATGTTCAGCTTTTACTTAACAGTGGAACACATCCCTCATCATCTCTCTCTTCATCTGCTGTACTCTTAAGGTCTTTAAAAATAGATTTCACTGACCCTCTATTGTTTTTTGATTTTACTTCTTAATACCACACCAATTCTGTTTTATATATTAAAGTTTAAAAGTTTATTACACCAGCATGAAAAGTGTGGGATGTGATATTCCATACTGTTTGGTGCTAGGACCACTGTCTGTAATGTTATATAAATGATTTACAATCTAATTGCCAAATTTGCAAACAAAACCAAATACATGGAAGACTTTGACGGATATAAAAATCCATTAGTAAATTTACAGAATGGTACTAACCTATCCAGGGAGTTTTCAATATAATGTTATAATCCCAACTGACTGTATTAGAAAGCAAGCCCTATTCCAGAATGAAAACTGACATGATAGATGTTGTATTTTGTTCAGTTGGTTAACAGTGATCAGTCACTGGGACATTCCAAATGGATGCAGATTTTCCTTAACTTTTTTTTCACATAAATAGAAAATCAAAACAAGCTATCTAAATATAAAATGACTCTTTAAATGATATCACAACATCATAAAATAAAGTTTCAACCTCTGTCCTGATATGATCCATTATAGAGACTATCCAGAGAAATTACACCCCTATCTGAACTACTCAACTGACTCCTGCCATTTCCTTGCTGTGGACTAGAGACCATTTTGAGCCTTTTTCCAAATCTGCAGATATGTGCTTAAACTTTCTCAGCTCTAATAACCTGCAAATTTCTAACCAACTTTTCTGCTGAGATGACTGGTCCCTGAATTCTCCCAGGACAAACTGGCCTCTAAATTCAGCGCTGGTTTTCCTTTCTGAACTGAACTGAAAACAAAACTGCCTGTTGTAAACCAACAGTGAAAACTCCTTTCCACTAACATCACAGGAGTTTACAGTCACCTGCTTTCTCATACCTATGAAGATGCTCCATTCTTGTGGAAGGAATATGAAGGTGTTGAGAAAAATGAGATGGTGCAGCAGAGGGATCCAAGGGTCCAGATGTGAAAATCGCTAAAAGTAGCAATGTAGATTAATATGGCCAATTAATTTTAAATAAAAAAGCTAAGTGCATTTATTTGATTCAATGACCTCCTCTAATCCTCTGATTTGGAAGAAATGTCATTTGTTACCAGTAGGATAGGATTGGAAAAGCAGAGCAATTCTGTTCAGCTTGCGTGGAATGCTCTGGTGCTGGTGTACATATGAGATAGAGGCACTAAGGAAAATGCAATTAAGATTTCCAGGGAGGACACCAGAGCAGATGTTATATTCCTTAGCAAAAGACTGTTCAGCCTGGAATTGTTTTCTCTAGCAAAGAGAAGACTGAGGGTGAGTGGTGCTTTTGAAAGGATTTGCTAGAGTAGATGTAAAGAAGATTCTCCTTTTTTTTGCAGAGACCAAAACTAGTATCACAAATAATCGCCTCCACGCAGAATGCTGAAGAATTGTTGAACTCATGACTCGGGCAGTTAAGGTGAAGGAGTAAACACAGTAGACCAGAAGGAATATCTGGTCTTCTGCAATGGGATTCGATGAAGAAGGGTTGGGAATAACTTGAACGATTTTAAAGACTAACCTGGATGAGATTTTATATAGTTAATACCATATAATCAGTTAAATTACAAAATAAACACTAGTCAGATTTCACCTAATTTACACAAACTAGTGCTAATGCTTATAAATGGTAATGCGGTTTTCCAAGTGTCTTGAGTATCTCTAAGTTTCCCTGTCATCTCCTTTCGCATCACTTCTCACTCACCTTGCCTCTGAGAACCAACTCCAAGGTTCTGGATTTTTTAAACTAAACTACTGACCACTCAATTTCATGGTCCCCGTGTTAGCTGATGTCATTAACAGTTCTTTCTCAGGATCTGGTCCCCTCCTATTTTTAATTTTCTGTCAGCCACCTGCTCGTTGACCACTCCATTCTTGCAAACTACTGCCTGACACCATCCGCCCTTTCTGGTCATGTCTTCTCATCTGATTATGTGTCCGTCTTTCCCAGAACACCATGTTAGGTTTTATCACTGTGTAATATATTATTACTTCCATTTTTTGCATAGAGGGAGAAATCTTGAAAAAGGATAGTGTGTCAGCTGAAGGGACAACATTGGAAGCTCTGCTACGTGGGGAGGCACTGGAGAAAAGAAATGACTCAAAAGACGATGAAGCCTACAGTGAAATTCAGGTCAGTCGTTTCTTCTTTATTTTAGCTGATGACCCAGCTGATTTCTACAAGGAGGGTGACTGATTTTTGTAGCTGAAGATATCAGCATGAAATTGGTCTCTTTTCATCAAACTAGTTACAAAAAACCTTGAATTTTGTTTTTGGGTTCTTACTTTGTTTTCCGTTGGCATGGTAAGTCTCCCAACGAGCCTTGTTTGACTGTTAGTTGCATTTATAGGCAGTTTAATGTATGGCATTAATCGGTGATTTCCTTGACCTGCCTAACCCCTTATCCCCTTGACACCGTCCAGCCTGTATGACACTACTATCTATCCTGTGTCCTAATTATTCTACAGCTAGCTGATTAGATTCTCTCAGCTTTTAGCCCACAATCCCAAAATATGAACATCCAGTTAAAATCTGAGGGGATGTAGCCTTCTGCTGTATGGCTCATTGAACTGCCTCTGACTGACATCATGATACAACACTTGCTCGCTTTCTTCAGGAACCTGACAAAGCTGCAGCATGCTATTTGGAAATTTGACCTCCATGACAGCTCTTCATTGCTTTCAACTAGCACACCCATCCATCCCCCACTATGCCCCATGCATTGCATAGGGTCGTGCAATAGATCTCTTCTAAGTTCTCATACATTTCATCAAAAATCACAGTTGAGAGCTGAATATGCCTGGCCTTGTTCTATATTTCTCAAATGTAATATGACTGATCAGCAAATCAACGTCATTTTCCACTTAGGAATGTAGCACTCGATCCAATTTTCAGCATTTTAATAAAATAAACTCCACAAACCCAAATGTAATTATTCAAATTGTATCCAGACTAGATATGGATTTTCCGTTCTAACATTATATGGTTGTAGATGACGTGCAGCTTTCAAGAAAGGAAGCTCAAAACTTTTTAATGTTTATGGCACACTGAGTTTGAGCAAACGAGTGCAGCATTCCCCTCAAGGGCCAAGGATGTTGGTGTTCATCAAGTTGGGGTGACTTCACCAGCAGGGCACATTCACAGGTTTGAAAACTGTCATGTTCTTAAGGAGTTTCTGTCTGGTGAGGTAGCTGGACTCGGGCAAACAGTTGGATGCACAAATCTCCACTCCAAGGACACTTACGAGAACAACATGAAAAGTCTTGATCGTGGATTCTGGAACTTGGGAGACACTTAGTGATGACAGGAAACTGGCAACATCACTTGGTGTCATTGCAGTGACAATCAGAAGCTTGAAAGCAAACACCAACACCAAAAACAACAACCAACAACACCCAGTCACCACTTCATATGTGGCACTTGTGGCAGAATCTACCTCTTACGATTGGGCCTCTTTAGCCATCAGCTAAAGTGAACCACATTAAGCAACCAATTCCCTGTGGATCTGATTGCTGCAAGTCATTTTACCCAGATAAAAGGATGCCAGTGAAGATTGCATTCACGTCTTTCAGTGCTTTTTACGTATGTATGTACTTTTTTTTTTTTTAAATTCTGAATTTTCGACCACCCTAACTACAAGTTGGTTTTACAATGTTATGTCACGGGTGATTTTATTCTTATTCCATCCATTGCCAACAGAGCAGTTTATTTTTCTAACCACACATTAGCTACATCTTTGTGCAGATAACCTGAATTATATATCTGGAGAAGAAATTCCTTCTCTCAGTAGAGCAGTTGGAACAAATTATGTTGATTCTTGGGTTACCATGTTCCTTTTTTCCTTTAGTGAGCAAACTCTCTTTACAACCCCTAATCTTTAAAGGCTTCTGGGATTTTGCTTCAATGCCTTTTGTAACTTCCATCTGAAATTCTGTTTAGTCTGTGAGTCACATGTTGATGTTTAGAAGAATTTGTTGGGCTCAGTTTATGAAAGTAATAACAACAGGTTCTCTGCACAATATCCACGGTATGATTGACAGCCACTGCTTTTTAGAATTTTTTTAATGTACCAAAGTTAAACATGCTGCATCTTCTACCATGCATGTCTCTCCAGTTCTACACTGTTTTTATAAGTGCTATTTATTTAATGTAGCTTTAACAGAAGCTATCTGTTCAGTTTGGCTGGGAAGTCTTTGATTATCATCTGTAAGTGTTAAAATTTGCTTCCATGAGATGACTTCCTGCAGGAAATTCAATACGTTAAGTCCAAATATGATTAAGACTTCCCTTTTTAAATAAAAGGGCTTATCAATGTTGACTATGTTGTGACAATACTATGGCTTTAAGAAGTATATTTTATCCTGGGGTTTTCTTTATATGAAGAAAGCTTGAGAGAGAGATACCGAGCAGTCTACTCGGAGCCACTGGAGTAAACAGTTTGTGAGGCCTTGGGATTTTTATTAAAAGTTGGAACAATAGAAACAGTTTGAATTGGTCGGGTTAGGTTCCCACAGAACTAGGACTTTTAGTTTTAGTTTTTCAGTAGCAGTTGCTGGGTTTGGAAGCTGCAGTAAATCTCTCCCTGCAACTCTGAGTTTTCTCGATTGTTTTTTTTACTTCCTAGACTGGAGAATCATCTGTGATGGTCTGTATTACTGAAATTGCCTTTTGCCAAGGTTTTGTTTTTATGGGATGTTACTGTATTGGAACAGTTAAATAATCTATTATTATGTTAAGTTTTCCAATAGAGTTATTCCAAGTTCTTTGTTTTGTTGTATTTTAACTATAGTGTATGAATAAGATGTGTATTGCTGTAGTCTAGTAGTTTGACCAATCGAATTGTATCCAAAATCCAGTGCCTGACACTTTCCTTTAAAATAAGAAAAAGTTAGGATCTAGGCTATCTTATTTTATTTTGAGTAGGTTTGGTCTGGTCCATAACAACAATGTACATTTTTAATAAATTGCTTAAACAGACCTCATATTTAAGCGAACTGAAACCATAAAACACAGAAGTAGGCCATTCAGCCCATAGAGTCTGCTCTGCCATTCGATGAGATCATGGCTCAACTGATGGTCCTTAATACCAGTATTCTGCCTTTTTCCCCTTAATCCTTGATTCCCTTACTGATTAAAAATCTGGCTATCTCAGCCTTGAATATACTTATTGTGACAGAATTCTGAGAGAAGAAATTCCTCCTCCTCTCTGTCTTAAATATATAACTGCTTATTCTGATATTATTCTCTTTGGCCCTAGTCTCTGCCGCAAAGGGAACCAACCTTTCTCTATCTACTCTGTCAAGTGCTTGAAAGAATCATGTATGTTTCAATAAGGTATGTTTCAATTCTTCTAAATTCCCAATGATTACAGGCCCAACCTACTGAAGCTCTCGTCATATGACAGTCCCTCCATACCTAGTATCAGCCTAGTGAAACTACTCTGGACTGCCTCCAATGCCAGTATATATCATCTTTGATAAGGAGCCACAACTGGTTTAAAAGTATTCCAGCTTTGGTCTGACGAGTGCCTGATTATGTGATGATTTCTGTGGCTTCCCAACTACTTCTAGTCAAAAGTGATAATAGGAACTGCTGATGCTGGAGTCTGAGATAACAAGGTGTGGAGCTGAATGAACACAGCAGGCCAGGCAGCATTAGAGGAGCAGGAACACTGATGCTTCAGGTCTGGACCCTTCTTCGGAAAGGGGGCTCTGAAATAAATAGAGAAGGGGAGGTGATGATAGAAGGTGGATAGTGGAGCAGATAGGTGGAGAGAAGACGAACAGGTCAAGGAGGTGGGGATGAAGCAAGTAGGAGTGAGTGTAGGTAGGAAGTGGGGGTGGGGGTTGGTCAGTAAGGTGGGAGAGAAGATGGACAGGTCAAGGAGGCAGGGGTGAGCGGGAAGGCTGGTCTTGGGATGAGGTCGGGGGTGGGGACATTTTGAAGCTCATAAAGTCCACGTTGACACCATTGGGTTGTAGGGTTCCAAAGCGGAATATGAGGTGCTGTTCCTCCAGTTTTCGGGTGGCATCGTTGTGACCCTGGAGGAGGCCCAGGATGGACACGTCATCCAGGGAGTGGGAGGGGGAGTTGAAGTGGCTTTTGACTGGGAGGTGTTGTCATTTGTTGCGAACCGAGCGTAGGCGCTCCACAAAGCGGTCTCCGAGCCTCCACTTGGTCTCCCCGATGTAGAGGAGGCCACATTGGGGACAGCGGACACAACAGACCACGTTAGCAGATGTGCAGGTGAACATCTATTTAATGTGGAGGGTTTTCTTGGGGCCTGGGATGGAGGTGAGGTGGGAGGTGTAGGGGCAGGTGTAGCACCTCCTGCGGTTTGAGGGAAAGGTGCTGGGGTTGGTGGGGCTAGTGGGGAGTGTGGAGCGGCCAAGGGAGTCGTGGAAAGAGCGGTCCGTCCAGAAGGCAGATAAGGGTGGGGAGGGAAATATATCCTTCGTAGTGGGGTCAGATTGCAGGTGGCGGAGAATGATGCCACCCCTTTTGCCTGTAGGAAGTGGGAAGAGTTGAAGGAGAAGTTTTTAAGGGTAAGGATGAGTTTGGTTAGGCAGATAAGGGGGAACTGGACGGGCCTGTAGGAGAGGAAGAAGCGGAGGGCTTTTAGGCCATCTGCATGGGGAATGAAAGTATACAGGTATTGGACATCCATGGTGAAGATGAGATGTTGAGGGCCAGGGAATTGGAGGTGGAGGGCGTGGGTGGTGTCCTGGGATGGGCACCTTCATGGGCCCAAGCTATACCTGCCTCTTTGTAGAATATGTGGAACAATCCCTCTTCCGCAGCCACACTGGCACTATCCCCCGCCTCTTCCTCCATTACATCGATAACTGTATCGGCGCCGTCTTGTGTTCCCACGAAGAGCTCGAACAGTTCATCCACTTTACTAACGCCTTCCACCCAACCTTAAGTTCACCTGGACCATCTCTGATACCTCTCTCTCCTTCCTGGATCTCTGTCTCCATCTCTGGTAACCACCTGGAAACTGATATCTACTTCAAGCCCGTCGACTCCCACAGCTACCTAGACTACACCTCCTTTCACCCACCTTCGTGCAAGGATGCGATCCCCTATTGGCAATTCCTCTGCCTCCGCCACATCTGCTCCCAAGATGAGGTGTTCCACTCCCAGAAATCCCAGATGTCTTCGTTTTTCAAGGACTGCAATTTCCCCGTCCCGCAACCCCCCCCCCCCCCCAAAGTGTTTGAAAATGCCCTCGACCGCATCTCTTGCATTTCCTGCACCTCAGCCCTTACACCCCCACCCCGCAATAAAAACAAAGACAGAACTCCCCTCGTCCTTGCGTATCACCCCATTAATCTCCGGATTCAATGCATCATTCTCCACCACTTCTGCCACCTGCAATCTGACCCCACTATGAAGGATACACATCCCTCCCCACCCTTATCTGCCTTTTGGACGGACCGCTCTCTCCGCGACTCCCTCGTCTGCTCCACACTCCCCACCAGCCCCGGCACCTTTCCCTCCAACCGCAGGAGGTGCTACACCTCCCCCCTCACCTCCATTTCAGGCCCCAAGAAAACCTTCCACGTTAAACAGATGTTCCCCTGCACATCTGCTAATGTGGTCTGTTGTGTCCGCTGTCCCTGATGTGGCCTCCTCTACATTGGGGAGACCAAGTGGAGGCTCGGAGACCGCTTTGTGGAGCACCTACACTCGGTTCGCGACAAATGACAACTCCTCCCAGTCACGAACCACTCAACTCCTCCTCCTCCCACTCCCTGGACAACATGTCCATCCTGGGCCGCCTCCAGGGTCACTTTGATGCCACCCGAAAACTGGAGGAACAGCACCCCGTATTCCGCTTTGGAACCCTACAACCCAATGGCATCAATGTGGACTTTACGAGCTTCAAAATCTCCCCAACCCCGACCTCATCCCAAGATCAGCCCTCCCTCTCGTCCCTGCCTCCTTGACCTGCCCGTCTTATCTCCCACCTATCCGCTCCTCCCACCTCACTGACCAACCCCCATCCCAACTCCCTACCTATACTCATCTTTACTAGCTTCATCTGCGCCTCCTTGACCTGTCTGTCTTCTCTCCACCTATCTGCTCCACTATCCACCTCCTATCACCGCCTCCCCCTCTCTCTATTTATTTCAGAGCCCCCTTTCCCTCCCCCATTTCTGAAGAAGGGTCCAGACCCGAAACGTCAGCTTTCCTGCTCCTCTGATGCTGCCTGGCCTGCTGTGTTCAACCAGCTTCATACCTTGTTATCCCTACTTCTAGTCAAAAGATGCTCAGGACTGTAACCTGCACGATAGCCATGGGCCAATTTCTCAAAGAAAACAAAATATCCCCCAACTCCGTGATGTGGCTAGCACTGGAAATGATACCTTAAAAATCACAGGCACGTTTGCTGAAAACTACTAAAATTGTGCTGTGAGATTCTGGATGGTTGTAATAATTGCATTTTCTGTTGGTCCCGCAGAGAGTTTTAGACAATGAGGAAAACATAGAAGATTTGGAAGAAGAAGACTTGGAAGATGATATCCCAAAAAGGAAAAATAAACCCAGAGGACGGGTAAGCAGAGTTCCAGAAACAGGCGAATCAATAGAAGTAGACTTGGACTTCAGCTTTTCAATGCATAAAATAAGTATTTCTATATTTTTAAAAAGCAAAAGAACTGTGAATGCTGTAAATCAGAAAGTAAAATGGAACTTCTTGGAAATGCTCAGAGGGTCTGGCAGCATCTGTGGAGAGACATCAGAGTTAATGTTTCAGGTTGAGTGACCCCTCCTCAGACTTGACCCAAAAACTTAACTCTGATTTCTCTCGACAGATGCTGCCAGATTTGCTGAGCTTTTCTAGCAATTTGTTTTCATTTCTGTATATTTTTAATCAATTTTTCCTACATTTTTAATCACTTGCCATCTCTCCAAAATATTTTGAAAGAAGTTAATATGCTATTATTTCTTGCATCTTGTTGAAAATACCTAAGCTTGATTTGAATGCTATAAAATCAGTAAATCTGTCATTTTTTTTCCACAGTAAATTACTGTGATCTCTTAGATTTGTTCAGTTGTCCTGGCCGTGTGTACTCCTGGGGTTTTTCACACTGTTTAAATGCATGAAAATTTTTCCAAAAAAAAAACCTCTTTTATTTTTCTTTTTTTTTGAATTGGAAGGAAATGCTGTTTAAATTATTCAAATTTTCAAACGGAAAGAAAAACAAACCTCTATTTTCTGTTCAAACTGAACACCGAATTCACATTGCTATAACAGGTGCTGAAAATGCTGGAAATACTCACCAGGTCAGGCAACTGATGAAAGGCCATCAAGCTGAAATGTTTCTGCTCCTCAGATGCTTACAGACCCACTGATTTATTTCCAGCATTGTGTTGCAGAACCAACATCTATCTTTTAGTGAAAATACACTTTTTTTTGGAAAATGGTAAATGCCAGCCAAAATTCCCAAATTTGCATTAGTTTCACTGTTAGTTCTATCACTTGTCCATGCCAAACTGCCATGTTGGACTGTTCATGTATAAAAACATGTCCAACCTGTAACTGAGTCTTGTAATCTAAGACAACAAGGTGCAGGGCTGGATGAACACAGCAGGCCAAGCAGCATCATAGGAGCAGAGAGGCTGACGTTTCGGGCCTAGACCCTTCT